CTTCACATATGCTTCATTATCATCATCATCATCATCATCAGCAGCAGCAGCAACAACAACAACAGCAACAACAACAACAACAACAACAACAACAACAACAACAACAACAACAACAACAACAACAACAACAACATGTTGCTGATAAAGAAAAACTTATTGTTGATAATACTTCAACTATTATTTCTGTTTCATCATATAAAAGCATTTTTTGACTTTTGTTTATTTTAATCCTTTTTTTTTGTAGCATTCTTTGATTTTTCAATGTTTTCTTTTTTTTGACCTTTAACCATAAGAATTACTTTATTCCTATAGCGGGACAAGTTTGGTTAGAAACATTGATCAATCATTAGAGCTTTGATTTTTAATTTGTTTTTAATTGTCACTCTTCTTGACAGTAATCAGAAAAGGAATATTATTAATTGTTTTCTAAAATTTTTCGCTAATGAATTTCAATTTTAATAATTAAACGTACCGCGATTGTATTCAAATTTTCATTTCCTTTAGCAAAACGATCTTCAAATAATCCAAAAGTTTTTTCGCCTTGCGCAGTAAGTTTGCTTACATGGTCTTTCACCTAAAAAAAGCGTAAAAGTTATTTATTTCACTACAATAATTATTTCTGTCTAAAGTAAACATAGTTAATTTAATGAAAAAATAACTAAATGCTCAGAAAATATCAGAGGTTAGGAGAGAAGAAAAGGATTTGCGGTAATTGGAAATCAAAAAATAAGCTAATAATATAAATTAACATCATTAATCATTTAGTGAAGCAATTTTGTTCGCCTTTAATTTTTACAAAAATGTAGAATTTTTGTTAAAGTTCAAAAATCAAGAATTATTGTTTTTTTTTTTGAAGATCGAAAATTGGAATTTAATGTTTTGAATGCTTAAATAATTAATTAAATATATCTAAATTGCACTTCTACTAACTAAATTGCACTTCTACTAACTAAGAGTACTACCAAATATACTTACAGAAACGATAAAATCACCAATGATACGTTCGATCCATTCCACCTGATCGATGACCGTATTCAGAGTAACATTATTTGAAGACATTGGATAATAATTAAATGTGCAGATGGATTGCAAAAACACTCCAAGGTAAAGTTAATTAATCAATAATAACCTGGAATATATAAATGATGAAATTATTAGTATCGAATATTGTTTGTTATTAGATAGAAGAAATGTTAGCTATTAACATCTACAAATCAAGGATTTCCAAAATTTTAGATGCATAGATACAAAAGTATAACAGTAAATAATTTCAAATGAAAGTATATTAGCTAATTTAAATTGCTAATTTCAGATAAAAGCATGTTATATTTGATGAAAGCATACAAAAAATAACCATTTAGATAACTTAATTATAGAAAAATAATGTGGAAAAAAGATTTTTGCAAATATATTAATTATCAAAATCAAATTTGATAATTTAATTTGGAAGTTAAGATGATATGATCTGTTCCAAATTACCACAAGATTTACTTATGTATATAAATTTTTGAAAAAAAAAAAACAGACACATTACGTAATCGATTTTTCAATTAACATCGTAATTATAAGTAATATTTCAGAAACGAATGACTCATTCAATTCCGGAAACTGCATTGCCAATTTTCGAAATTTTCCGGAAGACAGTATGAAGCACACATATTTCCATAATTAATTTGTTAAAATTGAAAAATAACCGGAAGGGATAGAAAAAAAACGGAAATAAACGGATGATTTTGAAAGTGGAAAATTTTGGTATAAATGATTACACAATGGTCTAACAACCAATTAATATGCCTACTTTTTTTAAGTAATCATCGATTGACAACAAAAAAAGAAAAAAGAGAAAACAAGAAAGAGAGGTAGACAGAGAGAGAGAGAGATAGAGAGAGAGAAAAAGAGAGAGAGGAGGGGAGAGAGAGAAATATTACTTATTCAAAATTGTTTAAAACTAAATTTTAGAAAAAAAAAAATCATTTTGTTAGCAATTTCTAATAATTCTTCTGTAACTTTTTCCCCCCCCTAAACAATCAAAAAACAGGCAATACATCGCAACTGTATCGGAATGATACGCTAACGCTGACGCTAAAGCTAACAATCGACGACGATGATGACAATGTTGATGATGATGATGATGATGATGATGTTGATGCTGATGATGATGACTAAGTAATGTTTCTTGCAATACATCAAATCAATTTTGTAGAGATTGGCAAGCAAGAATTGTATCGTCTGTGTATGCAAACATTAAAATTGTTATCGAAAATTGAATCAATCAATAAATATCATTCTACATTAATAATCGAATATTATGAATCTTACGCCAAATTTTACGTTTAAAAGATGTAAAATGTTAAAAATGGAAGTACTTGTTGCAACTTTTGTGACGTGAAAACACTTGCTGTAACGTGAAAACACTTGTTGTGACGTGAAAATACTTGCTGTAACGTGAAAACACTTGTTGTGACGTGAAAACACTTGCTGTAACGTGAAAACACTTGTTGTGACGTGAAAACACTTGCTGTAACGTGAAAACACTTGTTGTGAACGT